CTATTCCATTTAAAACTATACATTTAGACCATTTGGGACCATTTCCATAAAGTTCAGACCGAAACGAATACGTGCTAGTACTAGTAGACGCATTCACCAAGTTTACTATTACACGAGCAGTCAAGAGCGCCGCAACAAATCCCGTTCTGAAAATCCTCGACGAAGTCAGCAGTTATTTTGGCATGCCCGAACGCATTGTAACCGACCGCGGGACTGCCTTCACATCAAAACAGTTTGAACGATATTGCAAAGACAACGACATCAAGCACATTTTGAACGCAGTACGTACACCCCGTGCAAATGCTCACGCCGAGCGCACAAACCGTACGATATTGTCAATGTTGCTACCATCGACGAAAGAAGACAAAAAGTGGGACGAAAAACTGCGAAACATCCAGTGGTCCATTAATACATCAACCAACAAGACGACAAAGAAGACACCGCATGAGTTACTTTTTAATTTTGAACCGCGAGATATTTTAGCCAACAAACTCATATTGGCACTAACTACGAACAATAAATCAACTGATGACATCCATCAAAAGCGTGAAGAAGCAGCGATGAAAGTCAACACAGAACGAGCTAAAGCAAAAAAACGTTATGATGATAAGAAAGTACACAGAGGGTGACCTAGTCCGGGCAGAGAATGAACCGGCCAGTACTGGTACGTCACGCAAGTTAGAGCCGAAGTATAAGGGTCCGTTCCAAGTAGTCACTGTTTTGGAACGTGATCGTTACGTCATCGAAGACTTGCCTTGGTCGCATCGCAAGCAAAAGCATTATAAGTCCATTTATGCCTCAGACAAGTTAAAGCCATATTCTAAGCTACCAACTACTGATGATGAATTATCTGAAAACGGAGATAAAGAGCACGACGAACAACTACGATGCGAGGTCGCTTCGGTTTGTCTGGAAAGGCCGACGGTAAGCGAATCTGGCAACACCGCCTAGCAACGTCAATGTTTGAAATAACGTCAGAATCCAAAGAGGAGTGTTCGATGTGATTTGGCGGTGTACGGACGTTCGCGTCATCTATTAATTTCAACCAGTATTTCTTTTAATATAATTTTTGTTAATATAATATATACTTTGTAATCTTAAAATGCGCTAATTAAACCTAAACTTAAAAACCATCCTGACGGGTTATGTAATTATTATCGAAAAGCCAAAAGAGCGCTTTTTATATGTATGTTTATACAAACCGTAAGCAAACATTTTGCTTGCATAGTCTTCTGTTCTCTTTCATTGCAAGTTGAATTATTTTAATATCTATTGCAAACTTTTGTACATAAAATAAAATAACACTTTTTAATATACATATAAATGGACTAAAAATTATAAAATAAAATAATGTAAAAAAAAAAATTTTTAAAAACAAGCTTTTATTTAACCTGTACAATCAAAGGAATAAAATGAAGTAGTGTAACAAAAGATTTTTTAGCAAGAAAATTTTGTCAAAACTGCACTAAAATAATTAAAATAAAATAAGTTAAGGTCGTTAAAGTTACTAAAAGCCATTTAGTGAAAGGAGTTATTCAAACTCTAATGAAAATTACTAACAATTTGTACTAATTTACTTCGTTTTTTAAAAAGCTTGTCGGTGAATTCAGCATACATGCATAATTTGTTAGGTATGTATATGTATGTATGCAGATATGTATGTAAATGCCGTTTTGCGATTCGCGCGACACATAGAGGTTGTAAAGTTTTTGGTATCGATGAACTTACTCGAAGAAGACGATGGCCGAAAACATATGATGAAACATCTTCTGGCATGCCCTTGACAATCGTTAAGTCAGACGGAGGCTTCAAATACGACATTTCACACATGGCTGGAATTCGTTAGCGGACAGAGCACACATTTACAAAATATTTATTGTTCTGCAGAACGTGCATGCATATTCGATTACTTTATGAAACTTAATTATTGCTATTCATAATAAAAAACATTTTAATTTCAGTGGCGCTGTCCATCGGCAACCCAACTTTTTACAATCGTTAAGTCAGACGGAGGCTTCACATACGATATTTCCCACATGGCTGGAATTCGTTAGCGGACAGAGCACACATTTACAAAATATTTATCGTTCTGCAGAACGTGCATGAATATTCGATTACTTTATGAAACTTAATTATTGCTATTCATAATAAAAAACATTTCAATTTCAGTGGCGCTGTCCATCGGCAACCCAACTGAGGTTCCGTTCCCATCCATAATCGATCCATAAGTCATAATCGCACGAACTAATCAAGGCTATCATAGAATCCAACTTAGTCCGATTTTTCGTGAAATCTACGAAAATGCTATTAAGTTCGAGTAGTTACAAACGCAGCGCTTGCTTTGAATACACACGTTCATAGCAGTTCAGATTCAGTGATCGCTTTTTCGTAGATTTTAAGAAAAATCGGACTACGATGGATTCCGCCACCAATATGTTTTCTCCTTTGACAAGATGTTGGAGAATCGCGGCAGCACAGCCGTATACCTACTCTATGCTCTTACGCGCATATGCTAAATTTCTCTCACCTAGCTAAAGTGCTTGACAAAGGCATATCTTCAACATTATAACTTAAAGTAAAAAAGTAATAAAAGAATACAACAGAACCAAAAAATGTTTTCAAACTATTACACATGAAAAATTGCACGAATAAAATTCATAATTTAAAATAAAATATCGCAATTGTTTTTTATATGTACATACATATTTACAAAATTAATCTTAAAGCACCCACAGTAAGTCCTAAACATATAAATGACTAATAAGAAAAATAATAAATAACAGTAATATGAAAAAGTATGTCGAGAAATCTCTAAATAGTAGCGAAGCTATCTCAATAATAACAAGTAATTTTAAGCAAAAAATACAACCGACTTCAATGCGCATTCAGGTCGATCTGGTTACGTAGATCCGACTGTCCTCCCTTTTTTTAAAATCGTTAAACAAATGAATACGTATTCTACAGAACAAAATCAAGATACATATTTAAGGATTTTAAGTAAAAATAAATAAACGAAAACTTGTTCGTGATATCTCGACCAAGGTGTATTCATGATACAAAAATCTGAAGGTAAAACCGCTGAGAGGCAGCCTGAAGATTTTTAAAGTGTGCTAACACTACAAAAATGTTTTCAAATTTCCAATCTCACAAATACATTCTGATTTTCAGTCTCAAATAAATGAAAATTTCAATATTTTCATCTATTTGTTTTTTGTTTTACTTTTATTTGGCATTTGAGTTGCTCTCAAAATTTCAATTTAATAAAATAGACAAACTTCAAAAAATAAATGATGGCCGACGAATTGAGCAAGCGGTTTTACCTTTAAATATTTGTATCATGGGTGTATTTAACAAGGGGCCGTATGCATAAAACCTAAGCAAATGCTTTTTCTTAAAATTTCAGACCTTTCACTAAATTTTTTCAAATAAATTTAAGTGAAAGGTATGAAAATCTGAGAAAAAGTAATTGCTTAGTTTTTATGCATACGGCCCAAGGTGTTATTGACAACTCAGTGCGGCTCTCTTTTAAGATACTATTATGTAGAAAAATATAAACAAACAATTCAAAATTCATACAAATTTTTTTCAACTTGACTTTATAGGATGGTTCTTCTGAGAGTATGGTCAAATTCAATCACGCTTTGTTAAATACATTTTGATCTCTACAAAATAATATACTTCCTCTGTACAAATTTTATGAAGTGCTCCAAAATTCGCTCCGAGCGCGTTCACTGTTGATCATTTGATTTAAATAGTTTGTCAAACAATTAATACTATAGTTTGATCGGAGTTAATATATTTTTCAGTAATTAATTATATTAAAACATAAGCTTATGAGAAATTATTTAGTCTTAACATGCATATTTTATATCGTGTTCCAAAATTCGCTCCGAGCGCGTTCACTAATGATCTTTTGATTCAAATATTGTTTGTCAAGCATTCAGTAGTGAAGTTTGATCGCAGTATTCAGTAATTAATCATATTAAAATAAAATATAAACGTATAATATGGTAGAAAGTTAGAAATTATTTAGTGTTAATATGCATAATTCGCTCCGAGTACCAAAATTTGCTCCGAATGCGATCACTATTG